GGAACAGCTTGGACAACTTCATGGCTGGGTGGCCCATGCAATTGGGCCCTATGAACAGCTGGACAGGGCAAATGTACCTCATGCAGCCCTCATGCTGAACCCCTGCCCCATGGATGCCTCCACCTTCTTGCCCCAGCACCAAGCACATGGCAAATGTGGAAGGGAGGGAAAGGGGAAGGAGGAGTAGGGGACACACAATAGTGAGGGGACCGTGTCTTGTACATAGTTTAACTGTTTGCACTTGTTTATGCACTTTGTTCTTGTTTACTTTTAAAGCTTTTGGTGTTGCTAATGCTTTGGTGTGCTAATGGCAGCGGTTTAATGGTGTACTTTTCCAATACATGTGTAAGGTTTTTATTTTATAAATAAATTGTATTGTTATCATGCAACACATCATATAATGTGTATTTCAAATAATAAAGGTAAACACATGGGCAGGGACAACTGGAAGGTTGTATGCAAAACTCATGTCTCAATAAAGCTATAAGCGTCATTCCATACATCAGTTATTTACATCAAGACATACCATTCCCCTCCCCCCATTTCATAAGCAGTCATGTCATTCAAAAGTACAATGCATGGCAATCAACCCCCCTTCCCACACAAGTAATCAATGCCCGCCTCCACCAGACAAGCACAGACATAAAGGTACCATTCTCCGTGTTCTGTTGGCCCATGCAAGTCCATAATGTGGGAGCACAAAGCACTTACGATTTCTGTTGCCTGGGTGCATCCAGCTTTAGCTGTATAGGTGCACTTTCTGACCGATTCAGCAGCCTATAACTGTCATAGGGAAATAGCTCACCTTTGGTTTCAAAAAGATTGTGAAGAGCACAGCACATCACAGTAACATGGACAGCATTGATGATACTTGGAATGCAAATAAGTCTGCAGACATCTCCAGCCAGAATTCAATCTGCCAAAAGCACATTCAGCCACTGCTCTACACCTGCTCAGAGTGTAATTAAACCTCCTTTTGCCAGGGCCTCTGAGATCAGGGTATGTTTCATAAGAGGAGGCAAAAGGCGGTACATGGGGTCCCCCAGAAAAACAGTGGGGACAGTAACTCTGTTTATGACAATGTCCTGTGGTGGGAATAGTGTCCCAGGCTCTCTGTGAACATAGATTCCCAGTTGGTGGAAAACCTGGCATCATGAATTTTTCCAGTGCAGCCAACACTGACATTCATAAATCTGCCATTGTGGTCCATGGGGGCCAGCGTAATGATAGAGTAGTACTCTTTGTGGTTTATGTACTTGTGCATCTTGAGGAGGGCAAACTGTGGGCACATGAGTCCCATCAGTGGCCCCAGTGCAATTTGGAAACCCCATTCTCTCAAAGCCAGCAATTTACTTCAGGAATATCTTTTATGCCTGCCTCCTTAGGGTTCCCCACATGCCTGATTGCCTCCGAAACCTCCACAGTCGACTTTCCAACATCAGACTGGATGGCAGGAGTAGCCAGCTTCCAGACAGTTATAGCAAGCTGCTTCCGGACTGGCATGGCTGCCCTCATGCGTGTGTCTTTACCCTGAAGGGTCAGGGCAAGCTGCTCCCAAAGCTCTAGAAATGTAGCTTTCTTCATGCAAAAGCTTTGGACCCACTGCTTGTCATCCCAGGTCTGCATGATGATGTGATCCCACCAGTCTGTGCTTGTGGCCCTGCTCCAAAGAGCTGGTCTATGTAGGGGGCATCAGCAGCTATACCGAGTGTCAGGAGCAGCATCAGCCAGTTCACATGTGCCATGTCTGTGTCTTCCTCCTCCTGCTGCTCTGTTATTAGCTCTGTCAGGTACCTTTTGTGGGTGAGAAAACACCACCAGTGTCTCATGGAAGCTCTGCCTGCATCCTGATACAGGAGTGAAAGCCCAAGCAAAAGAAGTTATGAAATGGTGACTTTTCCATTTTGCTGGCTTCCATTGTTGGAAGTACACAGACCAAAATTGATGACTTAGCCGGATGTTCTGGCAGGCCATTCAAACATCCTATAACGTGTTGCATGGACAGTCAAGTTTTCCCACACTGTACCACGAACAAAGCGATCACATTTCTGGAGGGTGCTAGGAAGTGTAGAATACAGTTGGTTGAACTCAGGTTTGCATACTGTATTGTGGACGTCAGAGCCCCGGTTTGAGACCTGGGTTAAAAAATTCTTAACTTAGGGTTGGCAGTTATTGTAGACAAGCCCTGGGTTCTCAAACCCAGGGACCACTGACTTGACTCCCATTAACCCTGGGCTTACACTGCAGTGTAGACATACCCTTTAAAACCAAGTTCCAGCTTCCAATCTACCTACTCTTTTTTAGTTGCTCATAACTTTCTCAACTCTTCCTTTAAGGTTGATGTTTCTAACTTTGGTTTTGGAAAATTTGAGCAAAAACTCTTCATATCATTTTTGAAGTGGAAGGGGTAGCGTACAAAATACACTTTCTTTCCATAGTCCAGTTATTTGTGTGTGTGTTCCCAGAACTTAAAAATTGAAGGAGGAAGGAATGTGAAACTTAGTTTGTTTTATAGTTCTCACTGAGAAAGGAAAAACAATCCAACTGATGGTAATTTATATTTAGCATTTTTGTAGCACTTTGTTTTCAAAGCTGTGTACAGACATTAACTAATCCCCACAACACCCCTGTGGCGCAGTGGGTAAAGAAAAATGAGTTCTGTGTTTTCAAAGTTAGAATATTGGCTCGTGTGCACTGGAACTCTCCAGCTGAGTTCTCAGAGAAAAGTGAAGCTAAGGGTTATTAGAACTGGCACTGCTCTTACTTGCTGTTTAAGAACTAAAGACAAATAAGCCCTTAAGGCCATATTTAGCACTGAGCTGATTTCAGTGTTCAAGATGGCTCAGAAACTGTGGCTAAGCTAAAAGTTTAGGTGCCTTAATCGTTTAGGAGTAAATTGTGGATACTAAAACACATCCTTGAGGAGGGGGCCTGCCCGTGATGGACAATATTCCTGCATTTGTTCCACATGCATTGAACATGCAAAATCTGCTCCATCATTAGAATAGAGCAGCTTGCTGACCCCTCTATTTTGGCCCAGCTCGGAGGGGTAGTGTACAGTGCGGAGGACCATGACCCTACTATCTCTGTATCACCTTCTTGGCATCCTGCTTCCAATCAGAAGAACAGGGGCAAGCAGTGCCTCTACTTCCCAAATCACAGAGGGTTCAGGGACTACTTCCCAAATCAAAGGGCACTTGCATAGTCACGCAGAAAGCAGATGAGGATTGACCGTAAGGACTTCTGACAATCTGGTTCTTAAGCTACTTTAAACTCTTTAAGTGGTTTAGTTTAGGCCTTAACCTTTGAGTAGACTTTAGTCTTTAACTGAGCTTAACTTTGAGTTCACCCATACTTCACTCCCCTAACTCTCACTGGGTGGGGAAGAGAGCACCATTGCCACCTTTACATTCCCACTTGTGTCTGGCTGCGACACCCTTCTCCTTGCAGAGATTATGAAGAAAGAAAAGAGAACAGAATCTATTCTGCAGATGTCAACTCCCAGAATTTAAATACCTTCAACAGAGTATCATGTACTTCACAACAGAATGGGAACAAATTCTGTGGCAACAAGTGCTAAATTCTACCAAAATGTTGATTTATTCTACTGCCAGAAAATACCCTTCGTTCCCATCTCCCCATCCCCATACAATCATCTATATGGCTCAAAATTGAAATAGTTACTGGTGTAAAATTTGTTGATATTTTTGATGGTTATTATTGAGGTTGGGTTCTTTTACTCTCCAGGTTGCCAAATTCAGCTCTCGTAATGCTTTCCAGACAGACAGACACATTTTTGCTAGGGAAGGGGAGAGCTTGTAATTGACTTCCTTGGCTCATCTTCTCAGCTCTCGAGGCTGTTGAACTGTTCTCCAGGCAGCCTAATCCACCAGCCTACATCTCTGGCTTTCTGACTACAAGCTGGATTCCGGCTCTGGCTTCTTGACCTCTGCTGCCTGGCTCCATGGAACAGCGCAGGGAATGTGCTTTATACTACTCCCACTTATGGCAAAAGGCAGCTACAGGCAGATTCTGGCAGAGCAGGAATACAGAAAGCTAAATGTTTGGTGGCAGGTTGCAGCAAAATAGCAAATTCCACTGCAAAAGTGCTGACTTCTGTAGCATTTTGGGAAAATGACAGATTTTGTGGTTGCAAAATCCTGAAGTGTGTGAGGCCCCAGTTGAGATGAATGGGCTGTTCACATCTCTCAGGAGCTATTGTTTCTAGCTAGCTGTGGACTCAGGAAGATACTATTACATCAGTTACACACCGTTTACAGTTTTGAGGTTTTTCTGCAACCAGAAGGGCTAGAACAATTTTATTTAATTAATGTAGAGAATTTGGAGAACAATTTGGCTGAAAAGGGGGGATTCTGCAGTCACAAAATTACAGAATATATGGGGTTCTGGTTTTAATAAATCAACTATAATAAAAGCTCAAGTATCTTAAATAACCTGGGAAATTAAATACAAACACTAAAAATACCATGTAACCCACATTAACACAGTGTGGGTCTTTGTCCTGCTCTAGTGGCTAGTGCCCATAAAGAAGTTTGTGAGGCTACTACTGCTGCTAGTTAATGAGTCCTAAGTCTTTATTTTCAATAGTAGAGTCATATGGTTTTAAATGAAGAGGTCCTGGGTTCAGTACCTCCAGATGTCTGTCATAAAATGTATCAGCTGTAAATTGTACTTCAGATGTGACTGAGTTAATGTTGTTGTTGAAACCTTGATTTTTTGGAATTTCATTACTTTTACATGCTTGATTTCTAAACCATAGAATTGCATTATGGTTAATTTTTGTTTGCCATGTTGAATGTGTTTTTAGAGTGTTCATAGATAAGTGTGGTAAGAAGGAAAAAATATTCTTGTTTTGAAAGTGATGTTAATTTTTTAACACAAGATTTGTGATCAGAAATATATAGTGTTTAAAGCATAGTAAAAACAGATAGAATCTTGACTGTTTCCAGTATTTAAAGATTATCCCAATCTCCTTGCAGGCCATAGAAAGACATCTTATCAGAAAGTCTAACGGAGGACTGACATACATTGGGGAATGGAAGAATGGGCACCTTGAGAGAAAGATGGGCCACCTCACCTGTTTTGCTGGGGGAATGTTTGCACTTGGAGCAGATGGTTCCAGAGATGATAAGGCTGGACATTATTTGCAACTTGGAGCTGAGATTGCACATACATGTCATGAGTCATACGACAGAACAAGTAAGAGATATTATCAATTTAATTATTTTAATTTAACAGGACCCTGCACAGTAGAAATACACAGGAAAGAGAGGTGGTCAGATTATTCAAGACATTTGTCTTGAATGCATGAGCCTGATCTTCCTCTACCTCGCATCATTTTTATACCACTGTAACTTTCTTGACTTAATTGGAGTTACTCCTAATTTATGCGGCCAGGGTACATGAATGTAGACTCAGACCTTAAGACTTTTATGTTTGGTCATCTATGTCTATCCCTGACTTGTTTTCTAAATATAGTTTTGTGTGCAGATCATTCAGATGATAAAACTACATTTGAGAGAGCATTGGTACATGGGGTAGTGTTTTATATATCCAACTTAAAATAGTTTTAGCAAAATAATTAATAAATGAGAATGTGCTCTGCAGAAAAACACCAGCCATTTTTTATAGTAATAACTGTTAGTTAGCCTCACCCTCTTGAAACATAAATTAGTGTGTGAAATTGTTACAATTTGAAATCACATTGGTGAATTGCTGTTTTCCATGGTTCAAAAATCCCATTTGTCATGACAGTGCCGTCCTGCTTCTGGCTAAAATGAACACTGGTGCATTCTTGCTGGCTGTACAAGTTCACAAACAGGTGCAGGTTGTACAGCATTTCCAACAATTTGGTGAAATTGTGAATCCGTTTGAAAATGAAGACAGTAAAATGTTAAAGGCTATTAAATTAAACTTGAGGACTTTGGGGCATTGGGACTCAGTAGCATTATATCATTGAACACCAGTGGACACATTTATCAGCCAAGATAGTCCAAATAAAGTTAGTTCTTTCCATGACCCGGGTCTCTCATTGATAAGGGTTGGCTGTCTCTATTTATAGCAAACACCCGGGCAACCAGAAGTTACATAATCCCTGTTGTGTATTCCCTGAACTCTGTCCCCTCAGTATTAAAAGACTAAGTCTTAAAGATGGTGCAGAAATGTGTGCCTGGGCCCCAGAACGAGCACTTCAACAACTATTATGTAACTGAGCCTCTGGTTTGAGTTTCATTTGCAGTTATAATTGATTTGTTAAGAGTATGGTGGTCTGTACAGTTTTGGCTGTCCTGTTAGCTTGCATTAGAAAACTCATACACTTAATAAAGCACAATCAACTGATCCAATCAAGGGAATTTTCAGATGGTACCAGCAACCTGGAGACTGGGTCTGTTCTTATTGCCAGTATACTATAGCTGGTAGTTCAAGGTCAAGGCTGAGGTGTATTTGCAAATCACTGTACTACAGCTTGCAGTGTGCTCGCCACTGTTTCCGTCTTTGGGTGAATCTAGAGCTCCATTCCTGGCTAAGTTTCATTTACACAAAACTCATCCAAATCAAAGGAATGGAAAAACATGCTGAAGTAATATTGCATAAGCATTCTTCAGCTTCATTATATTTAACTTCATTAAAAGAATCAGTAATAAAATTATTTTAAATGTTTGACTTTAAAGGACAAGTCTTCGCACAGCTTGGGGAGCTGAGGATCAGTCTGCTGCTTTTATTCTTGATTTCTTTGTGTTTGTGGTTCATCTTAGTGAAAGTTTTCTCTAGAATGAAGATGTCTTGAGTTTATCCCCACTTGCCGTCAGGTACTATACATAACCTATATTGCCAGCAAGGGACACAAGAAAAAAAACCCTTTCCTACTCCAGTCACAAGGAGGTTGCAGTTCAGTTTTTATCTTTTCATTTCGTGTCCCCTCAAATTTTTATTGTTGACATCCCCTTCAATGTGGTTATAAGACTCAGGGTATGTCTACACTACGGGATTAATCCGAATTTACAGAATTCGAATTTTGGAAACAGATTGTATAAAGTTGAATGTATGTGGCCACACTAAGCACATTAATTCGGCGGTGTGTGTCCATGTACCGGGGCTAGCGTCGATTTCCGGAGTGTTGCACTGTGGGTAGTTATCCCATAGCTATCCCATAGTTCCAGCAGTCTCCCCCGCCCATTGGAATTCTGGGTTGAGATCCCAGTGCCTGATGGGGCAAAAAACATTGTTGCAGGTGGTTCTGGGTACAGCCTCACCCCTCCCTCCATGAAAGCAACAGCAGACAACCGTTTCGCGCCTTTTTTCCTGGGTGAACAGACACCATACCACGGCAAGCATGGAGCTCGCTCAGTTCAAGACAGCAGTCATGAACATTGTAAACACCTCACGCATTCTCGTGCAGTTTATGCTGAACCAGGACCAGAAAAACAAGGCAAAGAGGAGGCAGCGACGGTAGCGCGGCAACGAGAGTGATAAGGACATGGACATGGACACAGAATTCTCTCAAATCGCAGGACCCGGCGCTTTGGAGATCATGTTGTTAATGGGGCAGGTTCTAGCTGTGGAACGCCGATTCTGGGCCCGGGAAACAAGCACAGACTGGTGGGACCGCATTGTGTTGCAGGTCTGGGACAATTCCCAGTGGCTGCGAAACTTTCACATGCGTAAGGGCACTTTCATGGAACTTTGTGACTTGCTTTCCCCTGCCCTGATGCGCCAGAATACCAAGATGAGAACAGCCCTCACAGTTGAGAAGCGAGTGGCGATAGCCCTGTGGAAGCTTGCAACGCCAGACAGCTATCGGTCAGTCGGGAATCAATTTGGAGT